GTTTGAAGTCCTGATAGACACCGGGTACATCCGCAAAAACAAATTCTAGTTGTCTTCCAGAAGTTTCTCTTGTGCATCATTGAAATCTACTTTATCATACGTTCTGGATGATTTAAAATGGATGATGGGAGTAATTTGGTATACCATACATGTAGGTACGGTACTTGAGTCTTATAAATCAAGAGTTGAGAAAGTTGAAGGATTAAGATTCGCTAGGTACGTATGTCCTTACTTACTTTAAACAAGGCACTTTTCTGCACTTGTACCTATGACCCAGGGTTCATATGGTTGCTTGGTAGGATTTATTCCTCCAAAGGCATTGTTTTATGATAACATTTGCTACATGTGCAGAGCAAACTGCCGTAAGCTCTCTACAAGTATTATATGAAATAGGGTATTTGTTTGCAAGTATTCTTTTGCCTGAAAAGGTGTCATGTTACACTCAACAATTTGTTATTCATATTGAATGCCTGAGCATGCAATATTGTATCTATAGTATTTAATATAATCTTTAGTCTTGCATGGGAGTGTCTTGTAAATAGTGAAAATGTTACAGGTTGATTTTGTAAAGGGGTGTGTAGTCTTTTTTTTACACATGGCTAGCACCTATAAATGATCATTGTAGGAACATACATCTACAACAACATGTTGGATTGTCTTCTAAAATGCATGTTTCAGGATATTATTGATATTGCAAGTATAATAAGTCTAAATGTAATCTCAATATCTCATGTTAGATCCTCACATCCTGTTAAAATAGGCACAAGTTGATTGGTCAACATAAGGCCTGTCCTTCTGTATTTTTTTCAGACTCAGGATATTATCCCGAAGCTCAAAATTGCATCTTCACCAGACCAATACGCTCATCACAAACTAGCTCGGACGGGCGCAAATTAGTCAGCTATTTCCCAAATAGCAGGATATTTTGGCAACAAAACCAAAATTTCCCTGGATATTTTCTTGACCTAATATCTCGATTATTGCATCGGCAGGCTGATGAAGGCACAAATTAACTGGTTAATTTGCGTTCAGGATCATTGAAATAGCGGGTTTTTTGGCAAACTCGAGCTGATGAAAACAGGCCTATAGATTATGGATCCATCTTTCTGTTGATAGACCAACTACCTGCTCCGTAGCTGTCTAGCCACAACTATATTTAGATGATCTTGAGGTTTAGAGGATCATATTTAGCATCATAACACTTTCCTTGCACATGACTTGAATACTCTCAAGGATGATCCAAATCCTGGGCTGTTCTTTTTAAGTCATCGTAACAATGTGTGTGAATAGCACTCCTGCCTAACACACAATATGTGCAAAAAATAAGACACTGTTATCTTTTAACATGGTAAACATGAAACAATACTCATTTCGCCTTAAACTTTTAAAAATGCATTTTAAAGTAGTTTTACACATATTTATGCACTTCATCTTACTCCAAATATCTTATTTTGTATTATTCACCCCCAAGTTTCAAATTTAAATATGAATATAGACCCCCATGTAGAAGTTAGGTTGTTGTATTGTTGGATATACATTGCCCTACTAAGAACTATTAAGTAGAATGATCTAGAGACAAACCTTGATGGCTCTTCATGTTTACTTGAGGTAGCGATTAATTAACATTATTATTATTATTATTATTAAGTATTTGGCGTCTTTGCCCGGGCAGGGGAAAAATGAACTGAATCACTGTGACCCTCAAGTCTCTCCTCCCGGTATAACTGATTGGGGGTGTGCAGGTGGACCACTACTCCGGGTGTTCCCCCTACTCGTATACAAAAAGTGCAGGGGGTTCTTAAAGGGATCCGGTAACTTTGTCTTAGATCCTTTAGAAATAATCCTTGATTTAGCTCATGCTGCAATGATAATTATAAACCTTTAGGTCAGTCAGGAACTCCATGACTTTTATCAAGATATTAATGATTGGAATTACACATTTTGAAAACCGTTTGCCAAACAGTTTTCATAACACTACAGTCTATTGGGGAAAACGAGTATGGTGAAACCGGTCACTCAAACATTTTTACTTTTTTGAGGCACTTCTTGATCATTTTGAAGTGCAATTTTTTTAGAACTTCAATATTACACCATATCACTGACACTGGTAACATGTAGAGCCGTGCATCTCAGATTTAACATTGTTAAATGATCCCTTTAACGTGCGAAGGTTACTCTCTACACAGGGCCTCAATTCAACGTCCCATGAATTGGATTAAACCCACAATCTTTGGTTCTACAGGCAGACGCTTTACCGTCTGAGCCAACTTGAGACTTGAGTAGTGCCCATCAAAGCCATCTATACTCAAGAGTTTGGCCAACTAGGTGTTTCAGTTGGACTTGGTGTGGCAAATATTCTGTTATCTTGTATTTGCCCAATGAAGCAAGATTCACCATATTGTGTCTAATAAGAACTGTGTGGCCTAATCTGTATACAGATGGCTCTGATGCCCATGATGTGAGCTCACACTAAAGAAACTATAGTTACTTCATTTGTTTCTTTTTAAGACACTGTTATCCTGTATGTGTGTGTGTGTGTGTGTGTGTGAAAGCCCCTCTCACACTATGCTGATTCTTTACAATGTTTCTTTATTTAAAGGTATTACAAAGTTTTGGGAAATTTTGAAAATTTGGTGGATAGTGAATCTTTACAATTGTGATATATTTGGATTCTCCTGTGGATGTATTATAAATAATAGAAAATTTAGCCCCTTAAATGCTTCTGTTTTCGAGAAAAATTGAATATAAAAATTTACCGGTGCTCCCGATAAATTTCGATAAATTTCAAATAGCGCCTACAGCCATACAATGGTAGCTGCGACCATGAAAATCTCAGAATATGTAGTTGTGATATATAACTTCCAAACGGGAATAGCTAATCGGTCGATCTGAGACAAGAAACATTGTTTCATAGCTGAATTAATATCTTGACTTTGAGAGGGAGCTATACAACATAAAGAGTTTATTGTTTACAATTTCATAACTTTAGACTCGATTTCAACCGCGACAACAATCAATAAATATTGTAGAATCGCATATGCTTCCAACATGTTCATTTGAACCAAATTCATGACCCCATACCAAAACTTTGTATTACCGGTACCTTTAAACTTTGTAATTTGTATACCGGTACATTTCCTCTAGTGTGATCGATGCCGTTAACCCTGAGAGGCATTCCTTCGTAACTTGTGTCTTTTGCATGAACTGTCTTTGACGATACCAAGATAACGTGTCTTCCTGCTCAGTTCCTCCTTGGAGTATGCAACTTCCTCTGAGCTCTTGATAACATTGTCATCACATATACAGTAGGCTTGCGGGTGCACCATGTGAGAGAGAGGGAGGATTGAGGAGTCCTGAAAAGGACTCTCGGTAATCTTTCTTGAGGGTTTGTAGTCCTGAAAAGGGCTGTTTGGTATAGTCTTGAAAAAGACTGTTGGTTATCTTTCTTAGCTTATAGTTCTAAGGAGAACTATAGCGCTTGGAGAGGATGAGTGGCGGGAGTGGCTCGACTTTTCGAACAGGTTGACTATCCGTCGTCAGGAGTCATCACTGCAACTTGTTGAGTAGGGTACACAGAAGGAATTCAGACTCCCATTCATCCTCATGTGAAGTCAAGAATAATGAGAGAGAATCATATTTTGATAACCTGTAGGGGGAATCTGTTTCATTGCTCAAAGCAGTGACAAAACATAAAAATCTCCTGAATGAGGTGCCTCATTTGGGCATTTTCCCAGCTCATAACAAATTTGGGAGACCTGTATAAATGCGGCTAAAGACGAGTACACACACTCAATGAATGAGGCTGGCACTGGACCCAAGTCCAACTTGGGTTCCGTGCCAGCCCTATTCATTGAGTGTGTGTACGCGTGTATTAACTAGTTAACCCAACAAGACGTTTTTTTATTTACCGAGAATTTAATTTAATTGCGATATCTATTTGTAGAAGTAATTCTTGAAGCTCATATTTTGAATACAGTATAGCATTATGGAACCCCTTACATCAAGAGCAAACATGTTTTGGTGTTTTGAACACTTTAATGACAATGCAATCGCATGACCATAACTGGTCTTTATCTTTAATTCAGAGCTGTCCTAAAAAGGACCTATGAGTGTTCTTTATTTCTACTCTTTCATCTACATGTAAATTGCACTAAGGCAAACAAATTAATTGGAAATGTATTGGGAAGTAATGTTTATGCAATTTACGATATTTGAGTATTTTGAGAGTGGAAAGTCTATTAATCAAGCTTGAATGTTTGGGTAATATTGATAGCTATGTCCGGTCTTATTTCCTGGTGATAACTAGTGGAAATTAAGTGAGTTGAAAGATTGTACCGGTAATTTTGTCTATTTTATATTTATTCTCTTCTCTTTTCAATTTACAGGTTGTTTGCTATTGGAATGAAAATTTAACAAAATAAGGAAAGCCGGAGAACTATGTTAATCAATTGACTTTTTAATTTATTAATTCTATATTGGGTAAATGCAGGAACCAACAGTGTCCTGGAGGCAATGCCAATGGCTTAATAATAATAATAATATTCCGCTTTTATATAGCGCCAAAAACATCGATACAACGATGTGTCTAAGCGCTTTACAGATACATTGCAGCCAGATATTGCAGCCAGATCGATATTTCCCCTTGCGCGATATTTTGTAAGTGCTATGTTTATTTTAGTTTTAACGCCCCTAAGTACTAATATTATTATTAATAACAATATTTATGGTTTATGACCAGGATATTCTTTATTTTAAATACATAAAATGAATGATTACTCTTATATTTTTGTTTTATCTTGGTAGAAAACATGAAGAGAAGACATTTGATATAAGGAGCAGGCATTTCCAGAACAGGCATGCTTCATTGTTTTAGCCCCCCCCCCCCTAAGTACTCAATATTGTTATGATCAATAATATTTATGGTTTATCAACAGGATATTCTTTATTTTGAAAACATAAAATGAATGATTATACTCTTTATTTTTGTTTTATCTTGGTAGAAAACATGAAGAGAAGACATTTGATATGAGGAGCAGACATTTCAAACAAAACCGAACAGACAGGCTTCATTGACTATGGGAGCAAGTTCTCTGGATAAGGAGGAGAAAATGCAGTCGCCTGTTAAATCATGATTCAGGTAGATTCAGAAACTTTTTTATTTTTTTTATTTTGTAGATTTCAGAGGAGTAGCTATTTTGTCATCACTCATCAGCAATTAAAAGAAATTAAAAATTACAAAAAAAGCTGACCATAGATTTCAAGATTCTGGGGTCGGTTGCAATGGGCAATACAACATCTTTTTTTAAAGGTCTAAGTGTGCACATCAAGGGGGTGAATTGGGGGGGGGGGGGGATAGGATATGCATGCATCTAGTCTTGATCATGCTATCACCATTCTCCATGTGTTGAGTTTAGGTTTGGTAAATCATGAAAGATGTGCTGTTAGTAAATTTTGGAAATTAGCAAATGGTCAAAGGTTATTTGAAGCAATATTTCCTTTAGGTTAACATGTAGACCTTCATGTAGGTTTAAAGTAAGTTAAAGAAAGTTCTACAAAAGTATACTTATATTTGAAAAGTTACTTCCAATAATTTATTATTGTCTAGTAATCTCTAAAGATGTTGTGTTCTTTTTTATTTTTCACATCCAAATGTGATATTTCCACTCAGAAATTTGAGGCTTTTAACAGCCATTCTAGACAAAATATCTGATAATTTGATATTTGATCTTTGATGATCTACTAGTACAGGGTAAAGTTTTCAGTTCACTGTAATTTCAATCCTGATGTCCACATCATACACGTGCAAGCATTTTGTATCTTTCTGAGGTTATAGATCACATTGTAGTAGACAGTGCAATGTACTTTCATCAGACAGACAGACAGAGAGAGAGAGAGAGAGAGAGAGAGAGAGAGGGGGGGGGGGGAGAGAGAGAGATATGCAGACAGAGAGACAGAGAGAGAGAGAGAGAGAGAGAGAGAGAGAGAGAGAGATTAATTTGTGTTTGGAAGACATACAAGGATAATCAGACTTGCCAAATACTATTCTATGTAGTGAGCATAGTTTCAACAGCATTTGTTAATCCGAATTTCAGAATGATAACTTTAAATCAGACCATGGGATTAAATGTAAAGAGTTTGTTCTTTCTTTCTTGTATAAATGTGACACATTGTGCATTGTAAACACCTGATAATTCAACTCAAAGATGATGATTGATTTCGATGTCATAACATCCTTTTCCAATAACTTCTTAAAGAGAAGGTTGACTAATGGTCATGTTGCATTGTGAAAGAAACAGTGTGGAATCGATCAGAAAAGGTTGATCATCTAGCATATAAGTATTGGTGACTGGTGGGTACTGCAAGGTTCTTGAATCAGAAAAATGATTAGTAATTTGGCTCAGTCTTGGTAAAGTTACAGGCACTGTACACAGAAAGGTGTATATGGGACTACGCGACACGGGCGTGACACACGCGAAATCTATGAGGTCCAGATAGTAATAATAATTTACCAAATATATCAATTAGTAGGCAGTTTCCCGGCAAAATTTGTATTATCGCGTGTTAGTCAAAACATGTTCTTTCACATGATTGGTAATAAGAGCTTCCATTTCATTTTTTGAGAGGGGGGGGGGGGGTTACAAAACTGGTCTTTACCTTTAAAACCAACTTAATATCAGTGGGAAGTGGACTTTCCTCTGTAAGTACTGAAGTTCATAATCAGCTAAAACACTACATGTAGTAGGGCTTTTGTGCAAAAACATGTTGGAATGTATAATAATAATTTCCTGGCTTTCTGACAGTTCTGTATGTATGACTTCCTGTATGTAGGCTTTCAAGGTCTGCTGGTATAGACTATGAAGCACAGTGAACATATTATAGTTTGCATACATATAAACCTTTGTCAGTTACAATGCAGATTGTCTGCATTGTTTGGTTTTGCATATTTGATTGATTGATTGATTTAAAAAAAAAATTGATTGATTTTATAAAAAATTCATTTCATATATCAATTGTTTACACAATAAAGGACATAGTTGACAAAGTAAGGACACCTACTGGAAAGCATAGCTTGTTTTCATAGGGTTCCCAAGAATAAATATAATATGAACATTATTTTCATAAATCATTTTAAAGTGTCTTAATAACCACAGAATGTTTTTAAATGTAGTACTCGCCTCTTGTTTTGAGCACTTTCAATGTTTTTATCATTGTGGGACTATCTTGACAAGACCGCCTTCATCTTTTATGATACACTGATTCCATGTATAATTATTTGCATGTGTTCTGTATTTCTGATTTGTTTGTGCATATGCTTTTATTGGAATGAAATAAAATTAAACTTGAAAGAAAAAAAAGAAAAAAAGAGAGATTATGCCAACTGCACGGTCTATAGCACCCCATAGACTTCGTACTAACGCTGTTACTGAAACAGCTAAAGCTAGAATGACAGGGCTAGACTGCTCTTGACTTTATAGACTTAAGCTAAGGACAATTAGAGTCTGTACCTGTAGAATAGTGTAATACCTCTCCCCTCCCCCCCATATAAATATATATATATCTAGGATTGAACCTACGTTGTACATGTTGCTAATTTGCTAAAGGAACAGCCCACTGTGAATTCTCTTTGTCTACCTGTTTTTAGGCAATTTGCATCTGTGTATTAAGTATTTAGTATCCTCTTTGAAATTCACTGAAGTTTGCATGAAATGAGATCTCTCCTTTCATTCATTTGCAATTCTTTTTTTTGAGGAAGGAAAAGTTGCATTCATGCATGTAATTTCAATTTTCAAGAAGAAGAAAAGGCAGTTTGATAAATCCGCATTTTGAGATGACATGTACACCATTTATGGTCATTCAAGAAGAATCATGACTTTTACTCATTTTTTCATTCATTTGCAATTCTTTTTTTTTGAGGAAGGAAAAGTTGCATTCATGCATGTAATTTTAATTTTCAAGAAGAAGAAAAGGCAGTTTGATAAATCCGCATTTTGAGATGACATGTACACCATTTATGGTCATTCAGGAAGAATCATGACTTTTACTCATTTTCTCAATCGTATGAAAATGAGAAGAAAAATTTAAGGGAAACGAAAGGAAGGATCTCACTTGCAGACATGGAGTGGCATTCATTTCCATATGTTCCGCAAAGGCACAGCGAAAGTTAAGGCAGATGTGAATATGTCATAATATTATTAGTCAAGTGCCAAAATCAAAGCCTGTTTTTTTTTTGCCTCTGTATCTTTATTGTTATAAGGAAATTTCCCTTATACAATCAATCTCTTTCACGAGACAACATTATGTCATTACGCCAGCATCGTTTTACAGCTCCTCTGGATATAATGCATGTACCCTGCCCCTCATTCAGACTACTAGAAATCATTGTATAGCTGCATGGGAGTCGTATACATGTAGCTACAGGAAAGGCTATTAGAGACCTTTCACACTAAGAGAAACACAGTGTGATTCACATTTTAATGTTGATCTTTCTCTTTCTGAATTTTGTGCTTCTCCTCCAGTTTAGATATGCTGTTGTTGTTGAAATTTCATCAAAATATTTTCTTGTGCATACATGTAGTGCAGCTACATGTACATGTATGGCCTACATGGTTGTATCAGCTTTAAGAAGTGCTATATGGTGTATAGTCTTTTACAAAATAAGATTTGACTACATGTAGAAACCCATATTAACATTGAAATATTTGTTGCTACAACCAATGTTTCTTTTGTGCATTAGGAGTTGTAATTTCCCTCCATTCCACATTTTGCCTATCAAAGCATACTTTCTTTGATGTATAACATCTTCAGGGAATTTTAAGATATTTCCCAGAATTATATACATGTAAATGTGACCTTGACTCGTTATTGCTTCATTGAAAGCAAGAGGATTTTTATTGAAGCATCAAGGGGGTAGAATTATGATCACTTATTTCAAATCATCTGCACATGGGAAACTGTTCAATCGGCATAACTTACATGTGGTTTGGAGCACATTAGGTCATGTTCATATGACATTCTGTAAACTAAAAGGTTAGGAAGTGGTATTAACTTCAAGGTTATGGACACACTAGGCCTGTCCTCACTAGCTCGAGACTGCCAAATATCCAGCTATTTGAACTATCACGATCGCAATCTATCCATCTATGCATCTTCATCAGCCCGAAGTTGCAATTAGCGAGATATTTGGTCTAGGCCTGAGTCAAACCGTTTAACCGACGGTTATCCGACCGCATTCATCAAAACCGTTTAGCATTTCTCGCTCCGGTTAACCGTTATTTGCATACATATTGGAATGTGCTAATAGCCGATGATAAAGATAATCAAAGAAACCGCAGTGTAATGTTACACCCTGGCCGCTGCGCGCCAGCTTTCTGGCAGCAGTAATCCCCATGAATGAATTTGTAAACAATAAAACAACCAGCCCCCTTCTCTCTTTTCTCACCCTCTTTATTCCCTTCTCTCTGCAATGTGTTCATCGCTCATGTACCTTTTCTTATTACTGCACTCTCAGCTCACAACTTTCTAAATGTTTACACATTCGATGGTCAGTTCCTCTCACATCCCTTCTCCCCCGAGTCTCTCTCTCTCTCTCTCTCTCTCTCTCAATATTAATATCCACCCCTTGCCGACTCGCCCCCTAAAATAATGTTTATATATAAATAAAATACAAAAATATTGATAACAATAATAATTGAAGTTTTAGAAATATCAATAAACAAAGTCTTGGATATTGTGAGTAATTTAAGTTTTTGATCATTCTTCAATTCAGCCGATTAACACAGCCACCCTTTCTATCTAGTCTCACTTGTTTTACTTCTTTACTCTCTCGTGTCCCTGCCTCGTCCATGCAGGGACATGCAGGGACATGCTAGCCCATGCATGCTCTCTCAGTCACACACACATGTACACACAAACCTCCGGCGCCCAAATACACTGTACATACACACAGATGGAGAGCTCATGCTTGTCACATGCACACATGTGGGCGTGGCTTCTTGACCTCCCACTGAACTGGGTACGGTGAAAGCACGCGCGGTCACCAACCTGTAATTTATGCTGGTATCAAACTCCACCCACATAGCTAGAGAACCTTCCTGATTGGTCACTAACTTGGATCAGCTCATTGCAGGGTGTGTCTTG